CGCGTGTATTATTATTTGAAGTTCGTATTCCATTGTCTAAAGCATTCTATTTTTAGAATTCCTACTTTTCACTTGGCAGCATCAAATGCTAAGTACTTATACATTCATAGTTTATCAAATTTTAATTATAAATTTTATTATGTATTAAATAGACATTGAAACAGTAAAATGAAATTAAATAATAAATATTTGTGAAATTTGGTGGCTTATTTTAAATGCTTGGAATAACAAAGCTCATGGATTAAATGTAGTATAGACAACAACTTAGTAAATAATCAATTGATTTAAGGTAGGTATCGCCTATAGATGATGCATTAAATCAACACAACTAAGTTAGGATTAATAAATATGCTTAAATTAAGAATGCCAACGACGTCCCTCATTAAATAATATTTATAAAAAAGAAGCTTAAATTAATAAATATTTTTTATACACATAATAAAATTAATGCAAATCATCTTTGACTAACGAAAGGTATTTATATTTACCACTAAATTAACACGAGAAATGAATTAAATAATAAATATTTACATAAATATTCACTAATAGCTTATTTAAATACTTGAATTAATAAACGTTAATATTCCGATCAACTATAGTAAGTATTCATAAAGTAGCTCATTTTAGATATTTGAATAAATAAATGTTCCTTCTATTACGCACTAAATTGACACGAATTAAATGTGAAATTTAATGTCTTATATAAATTATTAGAATTAACAAAAGTTCTCAACTTAATGCACTAAATCAATAACCAATATTCATTACCATATAAAATAGAAAAATTCACATGAACATGAATACACAAATTAATATTAAAATAGATGAGGTAGAAACATGATTAAAATAAGTAAAAACAAGTTATATTACTAGTATTTTTATAATATTGTAATGCTGATATATTCATAAAAAGCCACATGTAATATACAAGTATAGAAAAGCCAGGTCACAAGAAAGAGTTTGCATCGGTCACATTAGATAGTCAACTTTCAAACTTATCCAAATTCGCCACATTCAAGTAAATTTAAAAATTATAGCCAATCGGTCATCCAACCAGATGTGAAGATGTTAACTGTAATAACATTTCGATAAGCCACATATAGTCACATGGCAACATTTTAAACAGGAATTACCACCCAAAATTGCCCATGTTTATATATTTAAAAATCACAGCCAATTGTGGCATCTAACCCAGTGTTTAAAATTCAAAATTAAAATTACTTGCATAAACATATGTTTTGCATATTTTGTGCAACTTTTTTTGAAAAATTTTACTTGCACACTTAGTAAATTTTTTAAAATTCAAAAAAAAATTCTTGCACATGTGCATCTTATGCAAGCCAATTTTAAACACTGATCCAATCATAGCAAGAATTTGTAGACGAACGTTGTTTCACATTCATGTAAACCATACTCTTCGTTTTCACTTACGGAAAACTCCATTTCTGGTACAATAACTTATTGGACCATTAATATCGTTAATCAAACATTTAAACAGGTTGGGCTAGATTAGTAAAAAAAGAAAAGGAAAAGACTCATATCGCTGTTATGCAAAGCAATTAGAATATTCTACCACACCACATGTTATATACAATGACAATTAGAAAGATAAAAAAAAATCTAACAAGAGCACAAGAGGCTTGTACATAAACAACAAGCAATAACATTACATGAGCCTTATTATTGCAATCAGTGTAGGAAATCTGATGTTCTCAATGTTTTCTGAGAACAAATTTTCCAATTTTTTTATTAATAAACATATAAAAAAAAATGGCCTGAGAACATTAAAATCGATTTAGATTTCCAACACTGATTGCAATACCTCGATTCAAACACATTTTACGCAAAGGATATTTAGTTACTAAATTCCATATAATGTATTGCAAAAATATGATCAAATTGTGATTAATGGTAACATGACTAATTCATAAAATCAAGCCAAAGTTCAGTTATCAAATTAAAAATCTGACTTTATCGATAATACCTTTATTTTCCCATTGACCAAACTATCATCAGCACCATACCTATAAATTTACATATAACAACTACACCAACCGGATAATACTGAATGGCTTAGAGAAAAAAAAATAGCTCCATACAAAAGTATTCCTAGATCAAATATACGAACAAACCACATAACAATTTACAATATAACTAACAATCAGCCATGTGAAGCAGCAACAAAAGAAACTTAAGCACAAAAATTTCACGGTCTATTTTGCCACAATGTGAACCAACCAGATTACCACCTGACAACCCTGGTCCCATAGCATAGTACCCAAAGAATATAAAAAGTCACAATTTTTTAATTTTAAATCTTTTTTCCTTTGTCTTTTCTTCACTACACTTACCATGATGATGATGTTGATTCCCTGCTTGATTGCATTACTGTTTATTCATTCAATTGTGGCCGAGATCACTATCACACCTGTATCTTCTGCGGACTTGCCTCCTAATCGATATATTGCCGAAAATCAACTGCCTCTTGCTGAACAAACACACGAACTGGTCAAAGTGGAAGATATCGTTCTTGTTTCGCAAATGTCTAACAGTGTCTTGGTGAAAGCTTACGTCGATAGATATGGCATAGTTTGACAGGTGGCAGGCTTTCAAATTGCAAATTCCACCTCTGATTTACATGGTTTGGCCCTCTCCACCAAGTACCCTGGTATGGTGTGGCTCACATTAGAAGTGGGCAACAAATTGGTGTTGATTGATCCTGTGACGGCGTCAGTTACGGATGCTCCCGAGGTGATCAAGGAAATCGATGTACCCGATCCCGGCAATGGTCCTCATTACATTGGTGAATATGAAACCGATCTCTGGGTCAGTCTCAAAGAAAGTTCTGACGTATTGCGCATCAACTATGAGAATTCCGCCGATTACAACATTTACAAAGGTGTAGCCTCTCCTGTTTTTGTCGCACAACACCCCATCAACAAGATGTTCTATACTGGTGAAGATGCGTCCAACAAACTCATGAAAATCAACCCTGCAACTGGTGAAACCACCCAAATCGATGTCGATACCAGTGTTGGTACGACCCCCGTTGGTGTGATGAGCGGTCCTAATGGTATCTGGTTCACTCTTCTTGGTAATAAAACAGCTGGCACAGGTACCTTTGGTTTCATCGATCAAAGCGACACGATTGTGTACCATAAACTCACGTCTTCCTAGGGCAAGGATGCCGCCTTGTTACATCTTAAATTTGATGTCGCTTACGAAACCAATTACAAGTTGTATCTCTTGTCCTCTTCGATCATCAACTCGAATGCTTTGGATATGGTCATCAAGGTCACCTTTGATGAGCAATGAACCACCATCAAGGATGAAGAAGTCGTTGTGACTCCTACTCAGCCATGCGCAGCCCATCGTCTTTTACCTACTCAATTCAATGTCTTTGCCACTGAACTCACCGCCTCCAAATTGTTAACCTTGTTTAGTCCTTAATGCTTTTTT